GTCCACATCTTTTAAAATTTTCGACCCTCTAGGGCTTTTAAGTCCATGCATTATTCAGCCTAAAATATTACTACAGTCTCTTTGGCTTGCTAAAACTGACTGGGACGAGCCAGTCGGTGACAAAGTACAAAAATCTTGGATTAACTTTGTTGGCAATTTACACTTTCTATCAAACTTACAAATTCCTAGGTTAGTCCGATGTGACTCGCCAGTCAGTCGAGAAATTCACACCTTTAGTGATTTACATGCGCTCCACTAATGCATATGGTGACGTCACAGTAAAACTATTATGTGCTAAATCAAAGGTATCTCCTCTTAAGGCTACTACTATACCACGCCTTGAGTTGTGTACCGCCTTGTTGGCAGCCAAATTACTCGTATATAAATCAGTTGTAGATTCACTTCGATACAAATTACACCTTTCATTCCACTGGTGCGACTCAAGTGTCGTGCTTAATTGGCTTCAAAGCAATAAAAAATTGAAAACCTTTGTAGCCAACAGGGTTTCTAAAATTATAGAACTGACCGAACGCTCAGCATGGCGCTATGTTCCAACTGATCAAAATCCAGCAGATTTGATATCAAGAGGAGTTAACCCTGACCAGCTCGGAGCAATGGATATCTGGTGGTCTGGTCCACATTTTCTTAAGTGTCAAGAATCATTGTGGCCAAGTTTACATGAATCATTGGATGATTCAGAGATTCCAGAACTAAAATCCAATTCTATTTTATTAAATGATTATTGCAAGGAGAAATCATTAGAACAGGTTATAATCAAATACTTTAGTTTTATTAAATTGAGACGTATATTTGCCTATATTAAACGTTTCATTCATAATGCACGTTCTCCCAAAGACAAGATTACCGGCATACTAACCGTGAATGAATTAGAGTCATCATTTGCAACGTTATGTAAAATATCTCAGCAAGAGTCATTCGCTCATGAGTATAATTTAATGTCAAGGAATAAGTCCCTTAGCCCTAAATGCAATATTTTATCTCTAACGCCTTTTTAGATGACAATAAAGTTATCAGAGTTGGTGGTAGAATAGATGCTTCCAACTACGATTACAATAAAAAACATCCTATTCTCTTGCATTCCTCTCATCACTTAACCAAGATTTATTTTAAATACCAGCATCTAAATAACATGCACGCTGGACCCTAACTATTACTGGCTTGTGTCAGAGATATTGTATGGCCGATCAATGGTCGACATCTGGCCCGTCGCATGGTTCATAGTTGTGTCACGTGTAGGCGCATGCAGGGCAACACAATGACTCCCATGATGGGAAACTTACCTGCACAAAGGATTACAGCTGACTTTCCCTTTCGCACCGTTGGTGTAGACTTCGCTGGACCATTTTATACCATTAATAAGAGAGGTCGAGGTGCTCGGGTAACCAAAACTTACTTGTGTGTATTCGTTTGCTTTCGGTACAAGTGCGTGCACCTTGAGGCAGTAAGCGATTTGTCTAAAGAGTCATATATACTTACGTTACGTAGATTCATATCCAGACGAGGCAAGCCAGCCGAAATATTCTCTGACAATGGTCGCAACTTTGTAGCAGCTGCCAGAGAAATAGGAGATTTTTTAAGGGCCAACGAATCTTCTCTCACAGAATTTGCTCATAATGAGGGTATAAAATTCATTTTTTCGCCTTGTTTTGCTGCTCACTTTGGGGGTATCTGGGAGGCCGGCGTAAAATCCGCTAAATACCATATAAAACGTGTGATGGGTAACACCCATCTAACATTTGAAGAAATATCTACTCTTTTCGCGCAGGTAGAAGCTATTCTGAACAGTCGGCCTTTATGTCATCTTTCCTCATCTCCTAACGACTATCTTTTCCTAACACCCGGGCATTTTCTGATAGGACGCCCTCTAAATTCATTACCTACGCCTTCAATTGGAAATCAGAATGTAACTAGTCTTGATCGCTATAAGAGATTGGAGCAAATCCGCCAACACTTTTGGCAACGTTGGCAAAAGGAATATATTGGAGAGTTGCAGCAGCGTTCCAAGTGGCGCTCTAATTCCTCGAAATTATGCGTTGGAGATTTGGTCCTCTTACAGGAAGACAATGTTCCACCACTATGTTGGCGCATGGGACGAGTTAGCCGTTTATTTCCTGGAGCTGATGGCATCTCGCGAGTCGCGGACATCGAGACGACCCGAGGCTGTTTAAGAAGACCACTTACCGGGATCTGCCCCTTGCCAACAGCCGACGAAGAATGCTAAGTTGAAAATGGATTCTCAACGAGGGGGAGGATGTCTAAGCGCATAGACTTTGTCTATAACGGAACGCATCATAGTCGTATTACTCACTACCCACTATTTTTTACTTTTAATACATTGTTAAGAATGTCAAGGCGATCCAACACAGACCTTTTGTACTGTACATTAGCACAAGAAATAAAAAGATTTTTACATCAAAAAACCGAGTTTTACAATTTTAAACTTCCAAATGTCCCCTACGAGACATACGTGTACTACCCAAGACTATTTACCACCAGTAAATAAGTGTCACTCACTTTTGAGTCGAGTTCAACTTAAATTATATATTTGATTTACGATTTAAATTATTTAATAAATTACACATTTATCATAAACCCAAGTTGAAATTGATTTTAATTTAAACAAGTAATTAAATATGTCAAGTGGGAAAAAGAAGAACTTTATAACACAGGTATGTATAAAATATGAATGAATTAAAATGCTCATTTAAAATTACATAAATAGACCAGCCTCCGATGTTACTTTTACTTTCATAGAAGTGAATTAAATTATTATATTATTTGAACCACTGAACAGCGAATTAAGAATATTGGTAAAAAACAAGATTGTGGCTTGCACCTTCAGTCTAAATTCATTTACAATAGTTTCTGTTTGTTTTCCAAGCATTTATTTCGGTCTCTTGTTTAGTTTCCTTTTGTACATTTTATAAAATGTTGTAATACAAATTTATTGTCTTTCAGGAAAAAAACCTACTTTTAGAAATTTTGAAATCGTATAGACATATAATTGAAAATAAGAAAACCAACAACATACATGCCAACTTAAAAAGCAAGCCTTGGTTAATATTGCAGATAGGTTTAATACCTAAGCTGTTGTAACAGAATCAGTAAGTATATTTTGTGTTTTTAAATGTAATTTGTCACAAGTAAAATGTTCCTATATCTTTGTGTTTCTGCTTATGCTGCAGGCTACAGGAAAACAATTACGCCGCCTTTGGACCAACCTCAAAACACGCCATAGGGACTCTCTGTAATTGATGCAAATATTGCAGAAATTGCACCAGCTCTCCTAGTAGAAATACCAAACGCTCTTGACTATAATACTGTAGGTGAGTGTTAGGAGACAGATACCTACATGTACATATAATCTCAAGCCAATGCCTGCCTTCCTAGGAGGTATATAATACAGACTACCATTTACTTCTGACATTTACCTCTTTTATTTAATTTTACCAGATCACCAGCAATTATTGGTAAGATATAATTTTTCACAGTTTCTTGATGAAACCTGTATCTAATTTTAAAATCCATCTCATTCATTGCGTATGGGTCTTGCGCATCGCGTAAATATCTGCGTAGAATATTTGGGATATCCAAGTTAAAAAATCTTTCGTAACTGTCCAGAAACAAATCATCGTAAAACACATTCATTTTCCACTAAAATATTACTTTAGTAGCACTTTTCACTGCTTCAGAATAGTTTCAGCTTGTCTCAGGTAAACAATGATCACACCTGTCAAAATCTATACCTGAGTGAAGATTTTGACATAAACATCGTTCTAAAATAAGCTCTCACTCACTTGAGTATGGATCGGTGAATCTCGTTTTAAGTGACATTCAATAATAAAATCTCTACTTAAAATTAGTTTTAAGACTAGATTCAGATTTAGATTGGGACCTAGTGCTCATTGCTATTCTTGCTGATGAAGTAAACAAACTAACATCCAGAAAGGTTTTACGGCTCGGTGTACCAAAGACTGCCGAAACTAGCTGAGGGTTGCCGTGGCTACTGAGGACTTTCGAGGTATACCAAGGCTACCTTAGGTATCCTTAATAACAGCACTTCCCGGATCCCTCCTATTTCAGGCGCAGAGTGGAACACCGTGCGGTTTTAGTCGATCCGATTCGCAAACTCCGGTGGGATGACGGCCCCAGGGGGTTTCCACGCTTAAAAGAAAGGTATCCCTTACGCTGACGAAAACTTTCGAGGCATGCCGAGGTTTACGTTGACAGTCTTGACCTGCCATGCCGATGGTGAGCGCTGGGCTTTAAACTGGGGACCAAGCAACTCAAAATTCAAAAGTGCGTTGCCGCCCTTGGTGTCCCTTCCGCTCGAGTCAGCGTGGTACTGTGTGGAACATTCCATCGAATATTCAGGATTACTCTTGTAATTTCGGTAGCACTCTAAAAGCGGAGCGTTTTGGCCGTTTGGAGCGAATTAACACCGAAGTGAAAATCTAGTGCGACTAACGAGTTATAATAGTGATTTCTTGTTTAAGTGTTTATAAATACAGTGCAATAAAAGTAATTAACCGACAACTTTTATTTGTTATGTACCCCGCTCGTAACAATATTTTATTACAATATTTTTTTATTATATCATTATCTTTTTATAAAGTCTAGGATGAATGAGATGAGATCATTTTATTTCATAATCACAATAAAAAAGCCCTCATCATTGACGTAGTAACACCATGACATTTTTAGACATATTATTTGTATAAAATTATGGATAGTTGAATTAAAACAATCAAGTCTAGCGATCTAAGCCTAATAATAATAATAATAAAAGTTTATTTCAGACTTATGGTCCATATTTATGTTAGTATTTTAGTGTTAGTAACAATAGTGCTTAAGTTGATAGGTTAGTTGGTAGACTAACGAAACATAAATTAAATTTATAAAACGAATACAAAACCTAGTGCTTATTTCGAGATTCCAAATTCAAATAATTATGTCAAATAAAAACAACATTCCAAAATCTAATCCTTAATTCTTTTGACCAACTTTACTCTAAATCCGTCAACATCTTTCATCATAACATCGAATGTAACTTTTAAAGGTTCATGGTGTACTGTGCCACTTATCCTGTTCTCATCTGCGCTTAGTATGCGATAGCTTCGTAGTAACGTCGCCAGTGCTGTCTTCATTGACATCATCGCATACAGGTATCCTGTAAATAAGTTGTAATTGAGTTCAAAATCACTCAAATACTTCTAAAATACTAATTTTTTCATCTGTTTTTATTGGTTCACATAGCTTGTTGAGTGCATTACCTATTTTGGTAAGCTTAAATAATAATAATAATAATATATTTTACCACATTTACACAACGCCATCTAGTCCCAAACTAAGCAGAGCTTGTACTATGGCTACTAGACAACTGATATAAATACATATATACTTTTTTTTTGTAAATACATACATATTATACATAGAAACACCCAGACCAAATCAAACATTAAATGTTCATGCACACAAATGTTTGACTTGAGCGGGAATTAAACCCGCGACCTTTGGAATAGCCGTCGTAGTCCGTTACACAAAACACTATGCCATCCGGTCGTCAAATCTAGCTTGTATAACTTTGAGTTTCTGGGTTATCTGGATTAGTAAATAAGTCTCTAACCTATATAATCTTAGGTCGCTAATCCAACACTAGTTATGGCTAAGACGTCATCGATCAATTAATTGCAAAATCGAACCCCACTACTGGGTGGAGTTCGTTAAGGTGTAGTGCACTGGCACAACGGAGAACCATAACGCACCTTAAATAGCAGGTAGCTGTTAACATTTTTAATTTAGACTTCCGAACCCCACCTAACGCCTGCTCACAAAAGTATAAACCACCTCTAGTCATTGAATGAATGAATATATCATTTTTTCTATCTTTTACTAGGCGTACACATATATATATACATATATATATTTCTAAGTACAAACCTACTCTAATAAATTATTTCTATTATAGTTAAACCGCCGTAAGCTTGGCCCTCCTGATGGTTTGCGGGACGCGGGGCGGGTGATGCGCTCGGCTAAACATGAGACGATGTACTAACTCGATATCTTGAATCAGATTTATTTGTTTGAGATTTAATCTATTATTATAATGTCAGTGTATTGTAAATTTTTATGATTAATTGTAAAATTTAATACTGTAAAATAATTTTAATAAAATCACCTTATCTTCATCATGTAAATTATATTCAGATACAATTTAAAAACTAAGTAAAATAATAAATATTCTTTATTATAACTTTAACAGTAGAACCTCTGCAAGCCGAACTTCAAGTTTTTAAATCTTTTTGTGACGCAGAGTCGGCAGATTATCCATTTTGCAAAATAATACCGTGTGTAGCAGTCTTATGAAAAATAACACGTACAGCCGTGCTTTCACGTCAGTCACTGCCGGCGGACAGCGACGCACTAGCTAATTGGTTGACTGCACCCCCGCCCCGCGTCCCCCAAACCATCAGGAGAGCCAAGCTTACGGCGGTTTAACTATAGATATTATATACCACAACACAAAGGCAGCAGGAACACTGAACAACTAAATGAAGCTATTCACTAAATATTACCAACCTAAACAACTGCGAGGTCCTGAACTGAACGCCTGAAAAGCGGCCGGATGCTTCGGTGGCGCTTCTATGAAACGTTCAGGCCGGAACTGCTCAGCATCATCTCCCCAGTATACAGGATTGCGATGTGTGCCCCATATGTGTACTGTCAATCCACAACCTTTCTTTAGCGTTACACCTGACGCTGAAACAAAATAATGGTCATTATTTTTTATTTAATTAGAACGAAGTTCCTCACCGCGTGTAACACATTCTGAACAGATGGGGGCAAGACCGAAAAATGTGTAACATGACTTTGGTCGACACTTTTTGCTATACTACGCACGCACTGGCTTAGATCTTTTAAATTAAGCAACGTATTTTAATGCGGTTTTCACCAATAGAAAGAGTGGTTCAAGAGGAAGGTTTATATGTATAATACATGCATGTTGTAGTAGAGAAAATCTGAGAATTTCAAAGATTTATGATAAAAAACATGTTTTTGTGCGCTTGCGTTTTTGCAAACGCTGGCTAAACCTTGCCAGATAGACCAAAGTAATGTACCATGGAATTGTAACCTTAATAAAATCTACAAAAAAGTCCGGGACGGTATATGTCTATCTCCTAAAGATTAAAAAAAATACATATATAGCTTATTTACGAAGCTATTTTAAAGAATACATTATTATTCCGTATCCAATCAAATATGTTGTGCATAGTGCTGATGAGCTGGTGATGGAAGGTAAAACGCCTTAACGGTTAAAAGTCAGATGATACTTCAAGATGCCGATAGTAACCTGTAATGTACAGGAATGAAAAGACATGCAACGCTGAGGGTTGGATTAGCATCCTGCACTACGTACCTATCTCGTCTTAGTGTTCTAATTTAAATATTTACAATTAGTCTTAATAGTGTATTTTTTGGCTTTGTGTGGCTCTAACTCTCAAAGAGCAACACTATCATTATGTCATTGCCGACTTAGCGCAACATAAACATCGCCTTTGAGAATTTTAGGGTAGTACCCTGGAATTTATGCACCGTAACTGAGGATTAGCGGCATCCCCGTAGCTTTTAGTTGCCTGATAAACCTACCAGTCAACTAAAAGCTAATCAAACAAAAACTCTCCCTCTCTAAAAACACTGAAAAGTAAACTGAATTATTTACATTATTAAAAAATGTGCAACTTTTTCTAACTAAGTAAATAAAAAACTAGCTAGTAACTATAACTTATCTATTCTCAATAAAATTATTTATGAAAATATGATGTATATCAGATATAATATCACAAAGCAAAAGGAACTTCGTTCTGACCGGTCCAGTCCAGTCTATAGACCCCTCACGCTGTTTTTTATTTATATTATTTATTTATAGATTTTTGTATCAAATAACCAAAACTAAGATCTTGTCTTACGCAACAAAAAAAGTCGTGTGTCGGAAAAAGTCTTGTTACACTTTTTTCGGTTTCGCTCTCATACACTCAGAGTGTGCAACTCGCGATAAGGAACTTTGTTCCAAAAAAAAGTTGTAATACAAGTCGATACAAATTTTGTTCGTCAATGTACAAAAATCGGCAAAATAAAACTCGGCAAAATTTTGAAAATCTGTCAGTACGATAACGAATTTTAGAAAAATTGGAAAAGTTGGCATAACAACAACATGTTTAATGATCCATGAAAATTCGGCATAAAGTTAATAGATGTATTTCAGTAAAGGGCATCACTTAGAAAAGAACCTGAAATGACATGTTATATTATCCAGTGATGCTTCATACGGTTTCCTCATCTTAAAGTTTAGTAACATTACATTTTTCTGAATAAAAAGGGACTTCCTCTGTACTCCTGACAAAATATACGTAAAATTTCATAATAATGACGTGAACGAGAACATATAACTAATAGAAAATTTTAAATTAATCCTGTCGAATCGGTTTTTTTCTGGATGAAAGACGACGTTCATTTTTGTACCACTGGCAATATTATTATTACTGTGCATTATTTCAAGGTGGTCAACCAACTTGATAAGACGTTAAAGCGTAAACAAAAAAAACAAACAGTTAAGATAATGAAGTTGCCAAAAAACCTACGTAATTTTATATTTTCATCAATTTCTCTGACTATTACGGGTACCGGTGGGTACAGACGAAGTGTTTCCTTAATAACAGCATCCAAGTATTTCAGATGAACCAAGTCCTCGGTGGTTACTGGCCTGTCTGAATCACTAAACACATCCTGTAATCTGAAAGCAGCGATGTCACATTATACTACCATCTTTATATTGTATAATATTTCAGTTTTTTATCCGACTTCAGTAACACAAAAGTTATATTTTATGTTTTTTTTTTTGTTTGTTTGTTACGCGATATCCCTGTCAATTGTAGACCGATTATCAAAATTATCTTTGTAATCGAAAGGGTATAGTCCTGATGTGGTCTCATTACCACCAAATCACGATCTAATAATGATATCCCAGAGAAATCGAGGGAAACCCTCAAATTTTACTGCCCCAACAACGTGTTTCTCTAGATATTTGCGTTTGGTAGTTGTTATCTCATTTTGCTGAGCTAATAATAGAAGAGTCCTTGTTCTTTAGAACTTAGAAGATAACTATTTCAACAATACATTTATGTATTGACATTGTTTTATTCTGTCAAGATATTTATTAATTGTTTGTGTGGGGTTACATATATATGTGCTAAAGAAAGTAATAAATGAGGTTACAAGATTTAGACCAAAAAAATGTTTTTTTTTATTATTTATTATTATTTTAATTATTCTTATTTTTCAATTATTTTCAAGTTTAATACTTCAAAACTCTTTTATTTGTTAACTGATTTAACACCGACTTCAAACAGACTAGAAGGCTATTATATTGTTACCTGTTATCTTGAGGGTCGCACTTATTTTGGGTTTTTCAATTAAATTTGTAATTATTTTTTAAGTTTTAGTGCTCTTTAATAAGCATTCAGAAAGGACCCTAGGGCTGATGAAGAAACCACCTGTCACCCACCTGAAAACCCACCTGTCACTTTGTCATCAAAGCGGACTCTAAACCGAGAGATCAGTAAACTCGTAAGACACGACCTCTGGTGCTCCAATACTCTTTCAATTGAAAGAGCGATTGAGCAGAATCGGGGGTCAAAAGTGTTCGTACAATCTCTTGGAAGAAGCCACCTGACAAACTTGACCTCAGAAAGTGGAGAAGTCGTTGCTTCGAAGCCGGCAGTCCTTTTGGAAGTGGAAAGTTTCTATGGCCGGTTATACGCTTCGCATGCATCTCGACCTGATCCCGAAAATGAGGACTCTAGATCCACATTAACACGTCAGTACACCGAAGACCTGCCAGAAGTTAGCATTGACGAAATCGAGATGGCTCTTGGACAGCTGAAAAATTAAGCTTCTAGCTAAGATTATACAGAAGACAAAAGAATATAATCAGCTCCTCTGTCTCTCTCTACTTCTCTCTACGAAGCCGCCACCATGTCCGTCCAAGTACAGAATCAGCAAACAAGGCCCGTACCATTGCATCGAGGAGTGAGACAAGGGGACGTTATTTCCCCGAAATTGTTCACAAATGCAATGGAGGACATGTTCAAGACGCTGGAAAGGGCGTGGCATCAATATCAATGGCGAATACATCTCTCACTTGCGATTTGCAGACGACATCGTCATCATGGCAGATACGTTGCAGGACCTACAGCAGATGCTGAATGACCAAGCTGACTCTTCTGTACGCATCGGCCTACGGATGACCTTGGATAAAACCAAGGTAATGTTTAACGAACATGTACTAACGGAACCGATTGCGGTATACGATGCTGTTCTCGAAGTTGTTCAAAATTATGTGTACCTCGGGCAGACATTGCAGTTAGGTAGAAACAGCTTCGAGAACGAGGTGAACAGAACAATTCAGTTGGGTTGGGCAGCGTTTCGGAAGCTACGTCGAGTCTTCTCATCTTCGATCCCACAGTGCTTAAGACGAGAGTCTTTAATGAGTGCGTCCTACCCATCATGACATACGTAGCCGAAACGTGGACACTTACGGTACGGCTGGTCCACAAGTTCAAAGACGCTCAACGTGCTATGGAAAGGGCTATGCTCGGCGTTTCTCTAAGGTATAGCATCAGAAATGAGGTGATCCGGCAGAGAACCAAGATCACCGACATAGCCTCCCGGATCAGCAAGCTGAAGTGGCAGTGGGCTGGCCATATTAGCCGCAGAATCGACAACCGTTGGGGAAAACGAATTCTTGAGTGGAGACCGCGTTTCGGCACACGTACTGTAGGACGCCCACAGGCCGGGTGGAGTGACGATTTGCGCAAGATGGCTGGCAGGAGCTGGATGCGAGAAGCCCAAAATCGATCTAAGTGGCGTGCAATGGGAGAGACCTACGTCCAGCAGTGGACTGCGATAGGCTGATGATGAATCTAATCTAGTGCTCTCTAATCTCAGTCTTATTTGAAGTCGGTATAACTTTTTTTTTAAAGAATTTATTATAATTTAAAAACTTACTCTTTAAATACTTTTTCTTGCACGTCAGGATAATCAGCCAACATACGAATAGTAAAAGATGATCCAACTGCGGAAGTGTCAGTGCCAGCTACCATCATGACCAAAGTTTCTTCAAGTAACTCCCGGTCGGAATATCCATTTTCGCCGCCAGATGATTCGATGAGAAGTTCTAGGAAACTCTTTATCCTCTCTGGATTACCTATTAGAACAATTTTAGTAATTGAAAAAGATTATTTCTTTTTATTTTATAAGCTAGTGAGTCTGAACCGTAGTGATAGGGAGACGTTAAAATAAGGTAAATTTATTTAGTTAGTTTTTCTAAATCTATCAGTTTTTTGGTTCTTTTTTAATGATTGAAATTGTGTTGAGCTCAAGTATTAACTCACTTTTTTCGATTTCAGAATTCTCTTTTAAAGTCTGCCGTACTGATTTGATTATCTGAAATAAAAAGTAGTGTTAACAAACCGCCATTCCTAAATTAAGAATTTTCAAACTCAAGATTTATACTGCATAAATACCGATTATAAAAACTTATAGTTTTATAGTACATTCTGCATTATTGAGCAAATTATTGCTAAAGCTTTCAAGGCTACGGGACTTGTAATGAGAATTTCCAAATACTTTGTGAAAGTTAAAATTATCTACTGGTCCAGCTAGAATATGCCTCGCCTGAACCCTTGCTATTATAAATACATAGATCGCATCGGGTAAAGACAGAAACGGTTTCTGAGATGTTTTCGTGTAAATATTCCTTATAGCGCACACAGTTATATTGGTCTGTGTAGGAAATTGATTGTCCTAGCCTTTTACACAAATTAAAATCCCCCATAGATCGGTTAGATTTAACCCAGGCATTTCTATTCCATCTTCTTTATTCGAGCAAGCACCGATTTCAATAAATTGTGAAAAGAGTACTGTTTTGATCCCTCTAATACTAAAAACAATGTTGTACGAAATATGCTAAGCGTTTTTGTAATTAATTTGTTAATTTTCTTTATTTCGTGTATTTTTTTCGCTTGGTTGATGTTCTTTTTTAATAGTTCACGCTGTGGTCTCCTGTAAGTAAAGGAGTACACCGACGACACACTCCTTTAGTTCATTATTGTTTTTTACTTGTGTGTATCTTTTGCAGGAGATCCTAATAAATGAATAAATAAAAGCAGTCAGGCAGCCTATTGCGAGTTTATTTCACGTGAAGGCACTCTCGACGGCAACCGTGTTCGGTGTTGCTATTGGCCCGCACTGAAATCTTAACCAATTCGACCCCCCCATATGACTATCAAAACATAAAAGTCACGCGTGTAGATGCGACAGCCAGTCGAGAGTGATGTGCCGCGATATGTTGTAGACACATTCGACTACACGGATAGCGTGGTGGTTTAAGGGGACGTCACGCTGCTTCCTATTACGCTGAGTGTTGTGGGTTCGATCCCCACATGGGACAACACTTTGTGTTGTCTACAAATTGTCGTTCTGAGCCTGGGTGTCCGTGTAGTGACCGATTAAGAATACGGAATGTCACTACCCCAATTCATCCCGTGGGTGTCGAAAGCGCCGACTAAGGGCGCAAAACAACGCAAGACACCAGCACTGCAATAAGAAGGAAAACTTGACACAAACCCTATATCAACCCGTCTGGCCAGCGTGGTATAGTAGGCCAACACCTCCTTTCTAAGGAGAGGCCTATATCCAGCAGTGGACTATTAAAGGCTGTTGATGTGATGTATGTGATGATGGGTCTGGGTGTCCTTTGTGTCCGTTTTATGTAAAAACAACATCATACATTTTGTATTCTGTGACAAAGTCGGAAAGTAGTCCTTTTAATTAAAGGAGCTACAATTATTATTTCAATTGAACTGGACACAAGATAATTTAGAAACATTAACTTTTATATTTGTATGGATATCTATATGGGAACAAAACACATCAACATCTTGTACACATTTCTTTGCTGGTTTAGATTTCAATATCAATTAATTCAGTCTCTAAACCAAGTAATTAATACATTCTTAAATATGAAAGATATTTGACAAGTAAAACTTTCTTGTACATCTCAGCGATACATTGGTTCATATTTTAATTTAGTATGGTTTACTTAAAGCTCGGAATTTAGGCGGTCTTTTGTTCTTTTTTATAGTTTTCATGAGACCTATCATTATATTTTGTTTAGATATGAACTTATAATGCTCAAAATACAGTGTTTAAAAGTAGTCAATCATTGCAGTAGGTTGTTACGTTTATATCATTTTAGGGTCATTAGATATGACTGCCTTTCTAGGGTATACCTGGTTTCCCGGCTATTAGTACGGCCGTACTGAGACGGCGTGCGGTTTTAGTCGGTTCGAGTCCGACATGCCACCGACAGGTGGTATCCGAGGGGATTTCCGCACGGACGAAAAAAAAAGAAAAAAAAAGGGGATTTCCGCACGGAAAAAAAGGGTCATTAGATATATGTTGTGATGTAGTTTTTAAAACGCTCTTCTTTTTTTCTTTAAAAACCCTCCCTTTGAACAAATAGCCTGATACTAGGACTTCGGATCTAAATCTTTACGTTCTTAATTTTATAACTAGAATACCACTAACATAGATGGTTATATATGACACTAGAAGATTTTGTCTGTCTAAGTTGTCCCAAATGACACTGCCTGGACAAACAGCACAAGTAGAAGTAGAAGCTTTAATGTCTCACCTCATCTACAAATTCATATACTATCCTCTTATTTTTTTTGTATTTCAAGTGTTGAGGGAGTAATTTGTACACTATATCGGGTTGTAACCATGGCTGCATCATTCTTTCCGCCGTAAGTTTGCAAACTGTGTCAAACGCCTTCAAAAGTTTATGTTCCGAGTTTTCTTGTGAATTGATTGATACGCCTAGTACCGTTTCTGAAAGGATTATAAAAATAAATATTATTATTTGTTTGTTCGTTTGTTTACTACGATTCTGTTATAGTTCATTTCTTAAAATTTGAAATTAATCTGATTTTGAATAAGAAAAACTAAAAAATAATTTAAAATTCAGTGACCAGATAAAAACAACAGGCAATTAAATTTAAATATTATGACATTCAATTTGATGATTGGCACTCCACCGCTGTGCGTTTTTTTTAAAAAAACTTCCTTTAATCCAACGCGTGGACGTAACAAAAAAAACTACTAACTAAACCTACGACTAAAGGCTCGTAACGCACTGGTCGGGTTTTTTCTCCTATTCGTCACCAGTGGGAACGAAGCCATCCGCGACAACTAGGAATACCTTGGCAATTGTTGATATATGTATAACAGTTTTAAAAACTATCAACAACAAATAATTGGTTGAAATCGCAATTGTAAATTGTTCTGGACTGAATACCTCAAAAATGATTTAGTTTTGTCCGCTGACTCGAGCGAGAGGGACTCCAAGGGCGGCACGCAATCGTGACTTTTGAGTTGCAGGTGTCCATGGGCGGCGGTAGTTGCTTACCATCAGGTGACCCGTCTGCTCGTTTGCCCCCTTAAAAAAATAAAAAAAAAGTTTCGACCAAATATTACAAAACATTGATTCATTACATTGAAATGACAATCTGTTTATCTTATTATTTGAGAATTATTAGGCAAGTAGTGTTTTACATAACAACATGGCGAAATTAAAAAAAGTATTATACAAACCACAAACAGAGTCCAACGTGAAGGTAGTTACGTATTTCCAAACAGACACAACTTCGTTATCCGCGACTGACTTCAGTTTATCCACCATTACGCTACTCTGCCGAGCGAATATCGTTACGAAGTTTTTCAGCTTATATGGACTAAAGGTAGGCGCAGCGACCTTGCGACGTGCTCGCCAGATTGGAACTAAATAGTGAAAAATATGTAAGAAGGATCCGTAGATTGCTAGTAATCCACAAGCAACGGTAAAATTAAAGACCGTTAAATGAAATTACATAAATATAACAGTAATACAACAGTAACTCTAATTTTTATCGTACAAAAGCCATGTCATGTTATACCATGCCATGTTATGCCATGTTATGCCATGCCATGTTATGCCATGCCATTTTATGCCATGTTATGCCATGCCATTCTATGCCATGCCATGCCACGGCCTCACAGAGGTCCAGTGTTAAGTCATTCTTTCGTTGCTGTTCACCGAACGAACCATTTTCGAGAATCCACCTATTGAAAGGCGCATTGTGGCACGTCGTGTATTTTTAGTCGGTTCGATACCACGTTCCACATCATAAAGTAATCACAATAAAAGAGATCTCTCCATAGAAAACGTAAGGTTTACAACAAGCTTATTATTGAAAAGAAAAAACCCCAACCGCGTGAAATTGTATGTACTTAAAATTTATACACCGGTAGTTTTAATTTTTATAGTTTTCAAATACAATGTCACACGAACAACATAACCCTCCTTCTGGAGGACAATAAGTCGGGTAATGAGGTCTTTATTATTGTACTGATGTTAATTCTTGGTTCCAAAGCTTACCGGGTGCAAATATGAGCCCATTTCCAATAAAACTTCTAGCGAAACGCATGATGTCATCCTTCGCTACAAATGTTTTCAAGATTACTTCTATGTCGACAGGGTCTACTGTAACTGTAATGAATAATCTTTGACTTGCCTGCTTTTTCAAAGACAAAAGACATTAAAAACCAATTAAAGTTTGATAAATGGTAGCATTTTTTAAAGTGTCATTCTGTCATGACACTGACTTACTGAGTGACAATTGACATGATACGTCAATGTGCCACCAATCCAACTACGGGTCTGTTAAATATTACTTATGTACATCAAAAAACTTTCTATGTTTCTGAGGGTTAAGGGGAGGGCTGTCCGTGTGGTGACCGATAAAGAATACGGAGTGTCACCACCCCTATTCATCCCGTGGGTGTCGTAGGAGTCGACTAAGAAGGCAAACTACGCATAACAACAGCACTGCAAAGAGCAGGAAAACTTGAAACATACCCTTCCGCAACCCGTCTGGACAGAGTGATATAATAGGCCAAAACCTCCTTTTTAAGGAGAGGCATATGTAACGCAGTCGACTGGTAAAGGCTATAGAGGATGATGAGGGTTAACGAAAATATTTAACTTGATTGTTTGTTGTTTAAAAGCGAGGACAAGTAGGTTGCGATTTAAAGCGATATAAATGAATCATAGGTGCTATAAAGATATAAGCAATACTAGAAACATACCCACGTAACAATGTGCTCCTACCCACAATAATGTCGTACCGCCATTTTTAATAGCCTCACGCCCAAATCTAATTAATGATTTCATGCGATCTGAAAAACCAGAAAATAATTTTAGTTTATAAAGTTTCTCACACTGTCCATGCTGTAACATTTTTAAGAAACTGCAGCAACAAAATCCGTTATAATTGCTAAGACGCCAGACGTCCTGCTCTTATTAAGTAAGGGAGTAAAATAAGGGTTTTCTGAAATGTTCTACGTGAGATGGCAGCACTGTAGCGTCAGGTCCAACCACCTGTCAAAACACATACATGATTTGTATTTTACGATCATTTTTTTGGTTTATTCATTCTTAAAAACGTTACAAAAGGAATATTGTTTTCTAAAATGCCACAGTGTTGTGCAGTGCCTCTGTGTGCAAATAAAACTTTTGAGCCTCTCTTTTTGAGCTCAATCTTCAGTTCGGCAACCTTTCTCTGGCCGTAATCCATAATAAACTCAATAACACTTCCAAATACATAGAATTTCACTAAAAAAATATACGTTCGGTAAGAATCTGTGCTATCTGACAGCTGTTTGGACCTGACGCATACGAAGCGCTGTCTGGTGGCAGAAAAAGTATCGAAAACCCTCATTCCTATGCTTAGTAATCTCCCCAATAGATTGAACCATTTCCTAAAAACAAATCGCCAAATTTTTAAAAACCTTAGTTAAATATATTAAGATTAAAATATACACACATGATGTCGTCAGTCCCCGAACGGATACACAGAGGCATATTAAGGGCCCACATCAGGAGCCCACCCATTGAGAACAAGTCTATTCCTTCCTTTAAGAAGGGAAGGTAACATTTGCCTTTAATTAACACTCGCAACTGTCTTATGGAAATCTCAAAGCACCAATAGGGTTGCCCTATACGTAAGTGATTAATTAAAGTCGCAAATATGTGCACGTCTAGTAAAATCTGCTCATCTTTTCGAGGAAACAGGCGTGTGTGAAGGTCCAAAGTTAACGCATGTAGTTAAAACTTTGCGTACCTATATATTTTGCCGCTATGGCAGAGGCGAACACACTATCTACTACGCTATCTGTAAATGTTTGTTTCTATTTCAAGGAATTTAACCATATAAAGTATCATTAACTCATTCATCCGTACTAATATTTTACTCTTTATTGCCTTTTTACCTTTTGGTCCTTAATAAAGGGGAGTGGAAGTTTGTATGAGAAATCAAAAACCGCTGAACCGATTCAGATGAAACTTGGCATGGGGATAGTTTGATTCTTAAAGAACATACGTTTACTGCGATAACTGACACAATAATGTTAATATAATAACCGACGACAAAAGCTAGTCTAAAATAATGGTCGGCAAAATATGGGCATTTAACATGAGTTTGTCTCTTGGCTGTAACAGTATCAGAGTAATGCTCATCAAATAAGTTACAGATACATTTATGTTAAACTAAACAATACTTGAAGAGGTTTGGAACAGTAGATTTATTACTTTTCTACTCAGTTCTTTACTTTAATAACTTCTTCAATAAGTGATCTCTGATGATGACTTCAATAAGTGTCAGCTTTTCAGTTGGTAAAAAAGAAAATTTTACTTACTTTCACCACCTCCTGCGAACAAATGTCCATGCCCAATAAATGGATAACTCTTAACACCACATTTTATTTGCTTTTCAAGTTCTAAAACTGGCTGCAGTTTCCATCGCCTCACTAAAAGGAATAAAGCTAAAGCAATTAATATAAGCCACACCATGATTAAAATCTTTTTTCGCTGGTCGGGCCTGTATAATCAGAACTAAACTTATTTTGACATATTCACGTGCATTTGTAGTACAAAATTACTAGTGATTTCAATGCACGACGAATCGCATCAATTTATTGTTCTTTAAATAATTAAACTGCGGGTTGGTTTTGTTATGAATAATTAATATTAATAATATAGAAGTTAATGGTGCACACCACATAATTATTAATGTCATTACTAGCTTATGCTTGGGGAGTCGATCGCCCAACATGTTCCGTAGTTATAATCCTCCTTTTTCAGCTGTTAAATATATCACTACGTTTACACCACACCTGCACACTTACTATATACATGAATGCTGACAAGGCTGCTGTCACTGGTGGCTCGCACACGGTGTGCTTACACAATACTGACTTGTATAATACGTGCATGATAAATTGAGACCTGCGTGGAATGCGATTCCCCGCCCACTACCCCTGTCACTTCCCCTCGAGCGCCCACGTTGTACTGTAGGCAACGCTATTTTTTATTAGCATATTGGACTGCCTACGTCACGTAACGACGTCGTATTCCTATTGTTATCAGATTTTCTGTTACATTTTGTTGCTAATCTTTTCAGAAATGTATAATTAGTACAATAAAGTATATATGTATTTATATGAGTTATCTAGTACCCATAGTACAAGCTCTGCTTAGTTTGGGACTAGATGGCGTAGTGTGAATGTGGTATAAAACAAAAAAAAAACTGTATTAAATACATTGAATTTTATTACAAACTAGCTGAGCCCCGCGGTGTTACCCGCGTTTGTTGTTGTAACTGCGGGGAATGCCGCGGGGCGAAGCTAGTCTAAAAAAAGTAGCCTAAGTTACTCCTTATATCATCAGCTATCTGCCAGTGAAAGTCCCGTCGAAATCGGTCCAGCCGTTCCAATGATTACCCGGAACAAACAGACAGACAGACAGACAGACATAAATTGTAAAAAATGTAATTTTGGCATATGTACCGTGTATACATACATATGCATTTATTATAAAGCGGTTATTTTAATATTACAAACAGACAATGTTTGACTTGAGCGGGAATCGAACCCGCGACCTTTGGAATAACAGTCCGTTACACAAACCACTACGCCATCCGGTCGTCGAAACAAACAATATTGATTTTTTTTAGGGACCGTATAAAAATAAAACATAAAGGGTCGTTGTTTTGAGTACAACACTTTTTCTGTTATTTTTAACATAAAAAAATAGCATAGACGGAGTCGCGTATGGAAGCTTGTAGTGCAACTTTTTGTGCACTCTGTACAAACTCGTGTCTATGACGTCACTGCGTTTAGGTCACAAGTTATACCGCTCGCATTATATATAATATATATATCACCGGAAAATAACAAGAACCGCAAATGTATAAATTTCCTAGGAAACGTATAAACCTTCGTAGGATTCTAAACGAAATATCAATTGTATTATTTTACGCCCACATTTTGATAAACTTACCGAACTCTAGTCCGGTGCTTATAATGTACCTAGTCATTCTGCAAAAAATGACAAATGGAACAAAAATTTTACAAATGAATCCTTTCAAAAACTAATGATAAACATATTATTTTGAAAACATTTTAGTCCATTAAATATCATTCGAAGATTGTTTTGAAAGCGACATGAATGTTAATACAAATTAATACATTTTTAGTGTGTTGCGTACTAAAGTTCACCTCGATAATTATAATAATACCTGATAACACTCACAAGTATGGACGTTTAATAAAGTTTCGAATCCCTTCGGATCTCCGGCTCCTTGTGGATAAAGGAGCCAGGAGTATGTGGTGTTTCCACTAAAAACCACTCCGACAGGCCTCCCAGGCCATGTGATTTCAGCAGTACCGTCTTTACCATAAGGGCACACGGGGCCCGTGCCCAGGGCCTCCATCGTCAAGGGGCCTCCAAAAAGCAAATACATAGCACGTTAAATATTCGCTTACCTCATTTTTTTTCAAATTCATATCGATATTATCCGAAAGAAAAGTAAATGGGCCTTTTTAGCAACTTTATGGCAACTCTAAGCACTGACAAGCCAATGATCAGTAACGGCCTTAGCCATTGCAAGGCCCCGGGCCCCGGGAAATAGTTTTGATCATACATTAAACAAAAAAATTGCATCGCAACACATACTGCTGCTCGCACATAAAACGACGACAGTTTCTACAATGTTACATACGAAATTAAACACGGGTAATCCCTGAACGTAAATCGTAAACACCTTAAATAGACCATTTTAAATTATCATTATATTTCTGGGACACTATTTTCTACAGCGATTGTTCTCCTCTCTAACCTCCTTGGCGACGTATCATCCGATGTTAGTGACGTTTCGATAGAGTGGCCAATATGGCGACTGCGATTTGTCTGTCAGCACCATTGGAATTAAACAAAATACTCGACAATCCGAATTTTGCGGATATATGTTGTCGACTCGAAATCTTATTTTTTTTATGTTTTATTATTCAGGTAATTTTTCGATCGAGTCATAGATTGGATCATTACTATTAACGCGATCTGTTAGAAAAGTCATTACTACTTAACTGATTCTTTATTATATAGTGTCGATGAAAACAGTTAAAAATACGCCAAATTTCATTAGTTAAAGAGAAATAAATAATGAGTAATTAATTATCACGAGCCCTTCTGAATCACCGCTTTTTAACAATTTAAATATGTAAAATGATGGCATATTCAATTTTCTTTTCTGTTTTATCAACTTTATTACAAGTCACACGTCGTTTTAGATAAACATAATGCAGAATACTTAGCAGGTAGCATTTTGAACTTTTTGGAAAGCCTTGATATTCCTATAAAAGATTGTCGTGGACAGAGTTATGATAATGCATCAAATTTGGCTGGAAAGTATTCTGGTGTTCAGTCAAGAATAAAAGAAAAATGCAAATTTGCCTGTTTTGTCCCATGTGCAGCACAGTAGGTGTTCAAGCTATTGATTGTGTGTCCGAAACTGAAGCATATTTTCAATTTACACAAAAATTGTTCAATTTCTTCTCCGCTTCGACCAAACGATGGAAAATTATGGTAGAGCATTTAGGCACAAATAAAGTCTTGAAGTCTGTGCCGGATACTAGATGGTCTGCACGTGCATTAATGCTTTACAAAATGGTTATTTAAATATTTCTGAAGCTTTGTCCTCGATAGTAAGTGATGTCAATCAACCAGGATAAACAAGAAACGAAGCGCAAAGCCTAGTAAAAAAAAAGGAAAAATTGAACACAATACTTTTAACGTAAATATGGAATGATTTTTTTGGGCATTATGAACAAAACAAGTTTAAGCTTACAGGATAGCACTATTACCATCGAGGTTGCCACAAAGCTTTACGCATCTCTCATCGAGTACGTCAATAACGCACGCAATAATTTTGATCAATATGAATTAGCTGCTAAAGAAAAAAATCCAAATGCTGACTATAAAGATAAATTTGACAGGAATAGAATTCGCAGCACACGCGTTACTTTCTTTGAAGGATCATCAGAGACTGTGCAGTTGCATAGGACGGAAAAAATTTCGTATAGATACATTTATCCCTATAATAGATACATTATATGCACATAGCGTATCAAGTAATTCACGATCGTTTTAGTTTTCTTTCACAATTAACAACAATTGATTCTGACGAGTTAACAAAAAAATGCAATAAATTTAAAGAATTCTATCACGAAGACATTAATGCATATGAGCTCAAATCAGAGTGTTTTCATTTAAGACAGTATTTAAAGAATATATCAAAGGAATTAGCTGATTTGAGTATCTCAAACATACATCATTTAATAAAGTCCGACAGATTAGAAGAAACTTTTCCAAATGTTGAAGTGGCTACAAGAATGTTTCTATGCCTAATGGTTACCAATTGCAGCGGAGAGCGCTCATTTTCAAAGTTAAAGCGAATAAAAAATGAATTACGAACATCAGCGTCACAAGAGCGACTAACGTATTTATCAATTATGTGTATAGAAAATGATATCCTCAAAAAAAATTACTTTGAAGATATAATAGAAGAACTTGCACAACAGAAATCTCGAAAAAAATCACTGTCGTAATTGTACTTAACTGATTCAAACCATCAATTCAAAGATACTTGTCTAATTAACATCCCATATTTATATCTATTATACTTACTCGTGTATCCATCTAATTAATATCTCTAATTATAGGTATATTTGATTGTTGCCAATAAATCATTTTAAGTAAAAGATCATAACTAAAAATATTTTCATCATTCATTTTGTTAACTGTCCAACAGGGCCCCTAATTCTTGTGTGCCCAGGGGCCTCGGCATGGCCTAAGACGGCCTTGGATTTCAGGTCCCAAGCCCCTGCTCTACCCTTTAAAGTAAATTTCAACTACCTAATCGCCTCCACCTCAATCTCTGAGGATATATTTATAATGAGACCATTGGGGCTCGGTCAACGCACTCCTTGCGTTGGTGGAAACCATAGAAATCGTAATAATAAGACAATCGCATAGTCGCCTGACCTTGTCGCCGCAATGATGTTGTTGTTGTGTGGAGTGTCGTATGTGAATTTATATTGTTGAAATGGTGAATGGGTTGTAAAAACGCATCAGGGACGTGTACTGAAGGCATAAAATTTCATCGGTAAGTTGATATTTTAGTAATAAATCACTGTTTTTAATAATTTACATCTGGAAGAATACTTTACTAAGATATTTGAACTTGTAAACTTTCATTATTAATTTCCGCTATATACAATTACCATAGCTGATTACCACCGACCAGATGTTACATCAACATCATCACATCAACAGCCTTTAATAGTCCACTGCTGGACATAGGCCTCTCCTTAGAAAGAAGGTTTTGGCCTACGATACCACGCTGGCCAGGCGGGTTGGTATAGGGTTTGTGTCAAGATTTCCGTCTTTTTGCAGTGCTGGTGTCCTGCGTTGTTTTGCGCCCTTAGTCGGTTCTTACGACACCTACGGGATGAATTGGGGTAGTGACATTCCGTATTCTTAATCCGTCACTACACGGACACGGATGTTACGCCAAAATGTATTTGTGACACGTTCATCTGGCAAATGCCCATCACTCACACATGGATCCGGTTCCTCCCATTTCCGGTACACCCACTTGTCATTTCTTTGGAACATTCTATTCTGATTATACCGATCTGTTCGATTTTTATACCGTCTTATCCTATTTGCCCATGCATAAATTTTCTGCTTTTGAAAGTATATGCGCTCTGTGACACATGACAAGTGCTGTTGAGGGCTTATGGTAGTCCCTCCCATGGTAGTCACTCTCGGTTACGAATTCCCTGATCGAAAGCTAATTAGCTTACCGACGAGTGACCTGGTCCCAGCAATACGACGTTCAATTCTATACTGCCAAGCTGGTACAGTAGATTTAGATCGAGTAGTAGTGACATTTTGAGTTACATTAACACCAGCTACTCAACAAGCTGCAATAGCTGCACAGTATAGAATAGAATATGTATCACTAAGATCTTCCTTATTATCTAAATAATTAGGCAATAACGAATCAAGGGCACCCACCAGCGCTAAATTTCGTTTAGGAATGGGCAAACGAGAGAATCGGGGTTATTGTTGCAATGTACATACCGGTGTTCCAGAATCGCATCCTCCAAAGCACTCCTTATCCTATCATTGTATTGGGTACTTACCGATATAAAAATTTGACCACTGCGAGCGAGCGCACGTACTAATTCATTCGAGAAAATTCATAAAATACCTTCCTTTGTATTCCGAAAGTGCACAAATTATGATAAAAAGGTAAATAAAGATAGGTAAAGGAATATCATACCACAGGTAAGTGTATACTAAAATACATTAATAGATGTATGGTTACGGAACAAATATTTAGTGCATGCAGTATATACTGCACTATACTACTAACGTATATTTTTTAAAATATTATTGGGTTATACTGTACCAGAACTTTCAAACACTAAACGACAATTCAGTAATAAAAATACTATTTATTTTATAAAACTCTTTATTGTAAAGTTTCAAGCACCACAATCGATAGAATGTCTATCAGAATATTATATATCTAAAAATATCTATAAGTATTGAGTAAGAAACCGTTTACGTTATGTTTTAAACCAATATGGTCATAGACACATTAAACAAAACAATAACAATATAAATGTTGCTTAAGATATACCAATAAAGGTACAAAAATTTACAAAATTACTTTTTTTTTATGGCAAACGAGCAGACAGGTCACCTGATGGAAAGCGACTACCACCGTTCAAGAACGCCTTCAACTCAGAAGTCACATGCGCGTTGCCAGCCTTCGAAGGAGGAGGACGCTCTTTCCTTGAAGGTCGTATCGGTCCGGAAACACCGCAACCGATAACTTGTTCCACATATTGGTAGTGCGAGGGAAAAAGTGTCTTTGAAAAGCGTACAGTGGTGGAGATGAAAGTTTTGCCGCGTGGAACGATGACGGTAGGTACTTATCTTGTAACATATTAGGGAGATATAAATATTATTTATCACTTCACTAATTAATATATAAACTTACATAATTATAGAAGAGTTAACAACATTTAACGACATAACATTAGACGACCGGATGGCATAGTGGTTTGTGTAACGGACTGCTATTCCAAAGGTCGCGGGTTCGATTCCCGCTCAAGTCAAACATTTGTGTGCATGAACATTTAATGTTTGATTTGGTCTAGGTGTTTCTATGTATAATATGTATGTATTTACAAAAAAAAAGTATATATGTATTTATATCAGTTGTCTAGTACCCATAGTACAAGCTCTGCTTAGTTTGGGACTAGATGGCGTTGTGTGAATGTAGTAAAATATATATATATATATATAAATTTACTTTTGAGTTATATTTAGGTTATTAACGCTTTTATACTAGAGTATTAAAGAGCCTGCCTCAAAAAGGTGCCTTAAATATTGAAATTATGAGCATCGTGATCAGTACGTATATTGTTTCTAATACCTTTTAAATGCAAAAGTTTATGAGTATATGTAAGTAAGAGAGTTATTTTTTTATAATATAACTTAACAAATACACGTAAACAAACATGGTATCCACATGTGTATCAAAACATAGGTATTTATAAAACAAGGGCTATGCAGTTACTCTGATATTCTGAATTTACATATAAAATATCCAATAGTTGCGGTTAAGGTTTTGGATACCGATATAAATTATCTATGTATCTATATAAATATAATTGAATATATATGTATGTGTGTTATTGTATATATGTGTATGTATGATGTATTGTGTATGTATGAGTTTATATGTGTAGCGAACCGTTACATATACTTTCACTTATTACTTAATATATTAAGACGTAACCTCTGTACACCTACCGTACAAGATTTCTACACCACCCAAAGGTTGACTGGAAGAGAATGCCCTGGGCATTAAATCCGCCCATGTACAATAGTGCATAAAGTTAAATAAATAAATATATGTATATTTATATCAGAATTCGTAAGTAAATAGTAATACTGTCAACGCCACAGCTTGGATGTTTTAATATCAGACATCGCCTACATTTTTATTCCCATATTTTATCATTCTCACAGCTTTAAAAATACAATTAATTAATTTAAAAAAAAACTATTTATGTAATTAAATTTATACCAAAGTTATAAGAGTATCATATTCATAACTTTTATAATAATAATATATACATTTTATATTAAGTAGTATGTTAAATAATATTTCGTATGATAACTGTGTAGAATTACAAAATAAAATATAAAATACTTAATACAATAAAAAAAGTTCATCACGATTTCTTTTTTAAATTCTTCAAAAATAATTCTTCTAATTTCATAATATATTTCTTTAAAACATATTTCTTTTTAAAAGATAACTCCAGCATTAGGAATATATCCTGTATAGCGGAGGACTTTACAAACATATATGAACCGGACACAAAGGGCACCCAGACTCAGAACAACAATTTGTGGATCACACAACGTGTCGTCCCATGTGGGGATCGAACCCACAACACTCAGCGTAGCGTAAGCGGCGAGGTGACCGCTTAAACCACTACAGACAGACAGACAGTGAGCGCGGCGTTGCGATTGGTGAAGATTTTTATCAAAGGCTCTTGGCTCAAGAACAATTCCAATGCCTTTTTGTTGTGCGCCACAAAAACGTGGGAATCCAATTTTCTAAAATCCTAATCTCAGACTGAAATGTTTAGCACCTATATGTTCCGTACTTTAAATGGGAGATTTCAAGGCGATAGGCAACCCGGCATCGCGATATAATTTGTTCCAGAAATCCATACGTTCTTTATCAGCGTGACTCTTGACAGACAGCTGTTCGTTAAGCAGCATGTATTCTCCGCCCGATGGCGTATACAGCGGCCAATTTATACCTTCAGCGCTCGGGTTACTGGAAGAAAGAAATTACACTTAATTCATCACATCACATCAACAGCCTTTAATAGTCCACTGCTGGACACAGGCCTCTCCTTAGTAAGGAGGTTATGGCCTACTATTAGTGATGTACACTTAATTAGTGATGAAATTAGTTTTTAAGCTCTGTTTTTCTGGACTTACAGAAATGCGACACTGACCTGTCGGAGCTATTGCTTAGGCGCGGGGTTCTCTGACCGGCGACCGGCGACGGGTCTACGGTTGTCAGTTGCATGCGGACGGTCAGGGAACCCCGCGCCCAAGCAATAACTTAAACAGATTAGGGTCGCATTTCTGTAAGTCGGATCGGCCATTGCCAAAGTCCATTCGTATGAGCAATATCATATTCTACAATCGCTCACTTATCTCATCAAATTTTCTTTGTAATACGAGTATTTTCGCAATTATCTCCAACCACTAAAGCGCCCGTAGAGAAGCAATACTTTACTTCTCACTTTTAAGTTGCAGGTGGACATGGGGCGGTGACATTATTCCTTACGAAAGTTTAAACTAGTGGCAAGTATTTTACCAGCACGGTGTATCAAGCGTGAAAAGAACAAAGTGCAAGCTATATCTACATTCATAGAGCGATAACATTTAGTTTAGTTATCAGAATAATTAATTAATTTCATTGTTTTGACCTTCTAAAGTACAGTTTTCTTATTTAGTTTTACTTTACTTTGCCACTAGCGCGGCGTCACGCTTTAAGGTGCGAAATATCTTACGGCAAAATGCACACAACTTAATTTAGGAAAATTTTAATTGGCGCCTCGTTTTATAATCTGTTGAATATATGATGGAAGTGTGAAGAAGTGAATACCCGTAAGGTGACGGATTAAGAATATAGAGTGTCACCACCCCTATTCATCCCGAGGGTGTCGTAAGAACCGACTAAGGAAGTAAACTACGCAGAACAACAACACTGCAAAGAGAAGGAAAACTTGAAACAACCCCTATACCAACCAGTCTGGCCAGCGTGGTAGAGTAGGCCAAAACCTCCTTTCTGAGGAGAAGCCTATGTCCAGCAGTGGACTAGTAAAGGCTGTTGATGATGATATGATGGAAGGCAAAAACTAATCGATTTCTTTTCAACTTGGAAGCCCCAGCGTGGGAATGAAAGCAGTTATGATGGTCTCGAACTAACTTAAATTATAAAGATAAGATCAGGCTACCTGGCCACACACGCTAAGGTTCACCGGAGAGGTATACCTGAACAGGTGTAGGTATAAAGATCTCAAAGAATTTATGACGTAAGAATGTAACTTGTTAAAAACTTATAACATGTAGGTTTAATGTTCATCGTTATTTATGTCTGTACAATTTCTACAGACAGTAACATCAACAGAAACGTCCCGAAAAAAAACAATAGTCCATCAACGTCGTGCGCGACCGTCCTGCGGGGTGACAGACGGTGGCGGGGACGAGGTACTCAAGATGTCAGCGGGTAGCGGGTGGTGTAGCGGGGAAGGGAAACACTTCTCTTCGTGTGTAGCCGTGTGCTAGAATGACGCGCTACCTCGCCCCCGCCACTGTCTGTCACCCCGCGGGACGGTCGCGCACGAGATTGCCGGGTTATAATAATGACATTACAAAAACGATAGAATAACTTACCCGGTTCTTGCAAACTCAGTCCAAAACTTCGTCAACTGATACACGATCTTTTGCAATTTTTCTTGATTATGATAATAATCTTTGTTAATCATATTGTAGAAAAAGTAGAACAAATCGTCTGCATGGCTAGCTCCGGTCAGATCGAGACCTACTAAAGATTTTGGAATGTTCAAATCAGTGTCATAGTCGAACTTGTAGAAGTAAACAGGCGCGTATTTATGGTAAAAGTTAATAAACCTCTGTATCTCATAAGAGAAATGTAAATCTGTTTGCAGATTTGATATTGCATCGGCTGTTTTAATTTCAAAGTCTTTTTTACCGACGTAAAAAGATTTTATACGATCTCCGAATTCTTTGAGTTTTTCTTCTGATATTTTGAGCTTCGCTTGTCTCGGTACAAGAAATGATGGTGTTTCGTTAATAACTTTGTTTTTCTTTAGCGTATCTGGTGCTATCAGTATACCTTCTCTAGAATTATAACCAATTAACAACGGCACTTTACTAACTTTGCCTTCAAGTAACAGATTGATGGGTTCCTCAGTGAGAAAGTGTTCTACGCCATCCAACCTTTTTTCAACTACAGGGGTGAAAAATATTGATAGACCTCTGAAACATTCGTCCGGGGTTCTTGTCTTCCGAGTTGCTCCGGCCAAATCAATTGCAGGAATTTTTTGTAAAAATTCTAAGAGTTCATCTGCGTTTTTAGTCTCTTTACCTAAAGCTTTGCCAAGTCTGAATGCTCTTTCTACACTTCTGTGGCCCAAACTCCAATCCACCAAAGCAACTCCACTCTGCGCTATCGCTTTATGGAATAGTCCTTTGGACATGTCCGATAGCATATGGAATGTCACTGAAGCGGCTCCAGCGCTTTCTCCCATTATAGTTATATTCTCAGGATCTCCACCAAACTTATCAATGTTTTCCTTTACCCAACGTAAAGCTAAGACTTGATCTTTCATGCCCGCATTGCCTGGAACTTCGGGTGTGTCAAGACAAAGAAAACCTAATGCTTCGAGTCTAAAATTTATTGTGACTAAAATGACATTATGCAAGAAAAGAAATTCCGGGCCATACGTGTCACAGTTGCCAGATCCTGACATGTAACCACCCCCGTGAATGTAGACTAGTGCAGGCGTTTTCGAACTAGGTTCTAGAGACTTAGTATATACGTTCAAGAATAAACAGTCCTCGTTTCCTTCTTTAAGGTCACCAGCCAACAAATCTAACTGGGGACAAACTGATCCGTGCTCTATTGCTTCGAGTATTCCGTCCCATGGTTTGACTGGTAAAGGTGCCTTAAACAAAATGTTATATTAAGAATAACTTAATTATTTTAAAGAACGAGTAACATATCAAATGTATGGTTTACCTTAAATCTCAATTTTCCCACGGGAGGTTGGCCATAGCGAATGCCTTTAAAGCTGTAATAAGGTTTCCCATCTAAAAGTGTCTTGACGGATCCCTTTAGTTTGCCTTGTTTCACCGCCACTATTGGGCTTGCCTGAAATATAATAATATTATGTTTCATATATATTCTATACGATATTAAAAGTACAGGAAGGTTACAATTGCATCCTATCCTATTTGACGACCGAATGACGTAATGGTTTGTGTAACGGACTGCTATTCCAAAGGTCGCGGGTTCGATTCCCGCTCAAGTCAAACATTTGTGTGTGTACATTTAATGTTTGATTTGGTCTGGGTGTTTCTATGTAAAATAAGTATGTATTTACAAAAAAAAAGTATATATGTATTTATATCAGTTGTCTAGTACCCATAGTACAGGCTTTGCTTAGTTTGGGACTAGATGGCGGTGTGTGAATGTGGTAGAATATTATAGTATTATTATCTAGCCCATATTAATATTTTAATGTAAAAGTAACAGACTGTCTGTATTGAATTTGACGCCTAAATTACCAAATCAACTTTGGTGTTTTGTCGATTAGGCATAAACTAGACCTAAAAAGGAACATTTTGTCGAGAAAATAAACTTTGTCAATAACAAAATAGAGCATCAAAGTTTATATCTAATGTTCTTTGATAAGAAATTAAATATGAGTGTCATATTGGCACTCCAACCGGTCATCGTCGAGTGGGCAGAGAGTCCAGAGCAGAGTAGGTCCTTTCCGAGTACGGCTAATTCTGCAGTCGTTCGCTAGAAGGGAATTGAATCCCGCCTGTCATGATTCCGATTGCAGTTGCGGGGCCCCAAAATGCGCGGGGCCCGTAGCATTTGCTACTTTTGCTACTTTACTTTTGTTTGTGTTACTTTACTTTTACTTTTATTGCAGTAATTCTCTTTAAGCTGCACATTAAAACTAGTTTCAAACCTTTTATTATTCTGTTCAAATGCTCTTTGTATTTTTCATATTATATTTTGTTACTGACGTTAACATACACATAATTGCGTGTGTGCCTTTATTATTTCCATGCTAACCTTTCTTTAATCTCAAGAGGGTTGCTAGAAGAAAACTTAACAACAGGTTAAGGGAATTGTGTTCTCACGTATTGCTTAAGGACTTAGTAAATAAGAACGACTTTGAATATTATATCGTCATATAATCAGAGCACTGGATTTAAGTCTACTCAGTGTCGCGGACGATCAAGCAATGGCTGCGCTAGAGTGTACATCTTGCTACGTGACTCAGTGATGCGACATACTACAACTTACTAAAGTAGTGATGTTACAACAAACGGGTTTTTTGCTCTTTTTACTTCTGTGTCATTACCCAAAACATTGCCTGTGTGGTGACGGATTAAAAATACGCCACCCCTACCCATCCCGTGGGAGTCGTTAGAGCCGACTAAGGGAGCAAACAATGCGGGACAACAGCCCTGCAGGGCTGTTGTCCCGCATTGAAGCTTGAAACTGAAAACTTGAAATGAACCCTATACCAACCGGTCTGGCCAGTGTGGTATAGTAGGCCAAAACCTCCTTTCGTAGGAGAGGCCTATGTCCAGCAGTGGACGGTTAAAGGCTGTTGATGAACCCAAAACATAATAATCTTTAAAAGAATTAAATAACCCTTGAAAAAAAAACTATAAACATATAAATATTCCAATTCTTGTCATTATGTCATGTGTGCGATTTAAATAATTGAGTATTTTAAGCTGCGGTAGCCTAGTGATTAAGGCATTGGACTTGCGATCAAGAGGTTGTGGGTTCGAATCCTGACCAGTACACTACCGACGTTAACCCACTCCTAATACAAGCAATTTAGCTTAGATGGAGGGGTTAACAGGAATACTTGTAATTTCGGTTACTAGTAAGCCAATAAAGAAAAAAAACAAAAATTACCAAGGGCGAATTTTATTTCTGGAAGAGGTAAATTGCAGAAAACTAAAGAATTAAAAATAACGAATAGTTACCCTAATAGCTCACCTTTGTACATGTACTCTTTTTGCTTTTGATATTTATTATTTACTAGCTGAGACCCGCGGTGTTACCCGCGTTTGTTTTTATAACCGCGGGCAACACCGCGGGGCGAAGCTAGTCTAAAAAAAGTAGCATAAGTTACTCCTTATGTCTATCTATCTGCCAATGAAAGTACCGTCGAAATCGGTCCAGCCGTTCCAGAGATTACATGGAACAAACAGACAGACAGACAAAAATTGTGATGTTATTTTGGCATTTGTACCGTGTAAACATACATATGCATTTAGTAAAAAGCGGTTATTTTAATATTACAAACAGACACTCCAATTTTATTTATTTGTATTTATTTTATGTGTGAAAAAAAGAATATAATAGAAGAGTATCTATTATAAGAAAACAGATACCTCGTCAGATACATGATATTTAATTCAAGTGCTTTTAAATAAAGCACATTCAAGTGCTTTATTTAATAACAACTAAATACTACTCCGGCTACCCACAATTGTGATATTAAAGTCGCCATACATTGTGTATGTGTATCGTAAGGGCCGACTGAGAGAGGAAACTGCAGAATAACATCCCTGCCACAGTGAAAACTTAACAACAGATTAAGGGGTTTTTAGCTCTTTTTACTTCTGTGTCATTACCCAAAACATTGTCCGTGTGGTGACGGATTAAGAATACGGAGTATCGCCACCCCTACCCATCCCGTATGAGTCGTAAGAGCCGACTAAGGGAGCAAACTATGCAGGACAACCGCACTGCAAAGAGAAGTTAACCTTGAAACAAATCCTATACCAACCCGTCTGGCCAGCGTGGTATAGTAGGCTAAAACCTCCTTTCTAAAGAGAGGCCTATATCCAGCAGTGGACTATTAAAGTAAAGATGATGATCATGATATTTGGTTGAGGCAGAATGTTTGGTACCTAGAAAGAATGAGTTCAAAGAAATATGGTTAAAATACCCTAGACGGTAGAAATATGATCAACCGATGTACTAAGTAACCGACTTGTATCCGTTTTATGTACCTCGTACCATTAGGTAAAGTGATTAGGAGATACAATCAGAGAACAGGAACAATGTGACCATCGGTTTTAAATAGACATGAATTGGTTTAAAAACATTGCCAAAAAGAGAAAAGCGGTAAACCATTTGGACATTGCGTTAACAATATTAAAGCCACTGGTGGCAGTTGGACAAGAGTAGCTAATGATAGAGTGAAATAGTGACATTTGGAGGAGGTCTTCGTCAACACGGCTAGGATGTCCATCATCATCATCATCATGATGAATAAAGAGAAGCATGAGAAGCCCAAAATCGATCTAAGTGGCGTGCAATGGGAGAGGCCTATGTCCAGCAGTGGACTGCGATAGGATGTCCATGAATAATTAAATAAATAACAAATGAGTACATGGTTGTAAAAACTTTAAAGTTTAAGGAAATCAAATACTTAAATCTCTACTAATATTACAAAGCTCAAGAGTTAATTTGTTTGAACGCACCAATCTCAGGAACTACTGGTCCGATTTGAAAAAATATTTCAATGTTAGATAGCCCATTAATCGAGGAAGGCTATATATCATCACGCTAAGACCAATAGGAGCGGAGCACTAATAAAGAATGTTACAAAAACGGGGAAAATTTATTCCTTTTAAAAGACGCAGACAAAGTTAAATATACTGTCTCAGTAAAGAGTATTAACATTTTTACATTATGTACCTACCATTAGCTAAAACTTTGGCTATCATGTAATTATCCTACAAGATTTTAAAATGAACTCAGGATTGATTGTTCTCTTATAAATTAATAAAATATGTTGTAAATTAGGACTGTGTTACTATAGTTTCAATAAACTACCTTAGAAAATCTTTTCTCTTTTTTTAAAAAGACAACTCCTGCACTTGGAATTAATTCTGCGTCACGAGGGACTTTTTAAACATACATGAAACGGACACAAAGAACACCCAGACTCAGAACAACAATTTGTGGATCACACATAGTGTTGTCCCATGTGAACCACTTGCTTAAACCACTACACCATCCGTGCAGTCAAAAATGCACTTTCTAAACTTTATAAATGTATCTGTCTACTTTTAAAGGCTTAGAAATTGTAAAATAAAATATTTGTTATGTTAACATAAGTCTATGTCATTAAAAAAAAAACAATAATTTACATACTTAATTATATTTATCATAATTTACATACATTTAACCCTACATTTAACTAATTCCTTAGTTTAAAATTCCTCAATGGAATATTATTTAATCATAAACCGTATTGATTGTATATACCATTAAAAAATATTATTAAAATATTAAATATAACTTCAAGCTAGGTACAAAGGTTCAAAGTGTGTTGGGTGCATTACAAGCCTAAAAAACTACTTACCATTGACTCGTTTGAGAAAAATCTCATCAAGTTAAATCTAGCTAAACAGATTTGGCCTTTTTTAAACATTAACATTATACTATTCGGTTAAAACTATGTGATCACTACGTACTCTTAAATATCTTAACTTGGAACTGTCAGTTGTCACTGTACTGTCGAGTAGTGTCGAGCCGAGCGTGTTAGTGCTGCCAACAATTAAATGAACTCTCCACCAGATTCAACTTCTAAAACCACCAGAAAGTATATTATTAACTAGTTTCCTTTATTAAAATTCAATACTGATACTAATCGTTTTTGTCAGCACCATTATCGACGGTTTCATATTGAAACGATTTTGGTACCAATTTATTTTACAACATTTATGGGAATTTTATATTTGTTACAGCGTTCTCCTTCCAACTTCAAACCACAGCGTATTTTTACATCGCAGATAAAAGATTTAACTTCATTATATTCCTCTGTTTTTACTCACAGTCTCTCAACTCAACATCGGCATTGAAATGAAGCAGTATTAAGAGTGTAATACCACAGGTCGCTAATTTCTCAAATGTCGAAGTCCCTCGCCCCCTTTTTTTTCTATACGAAAAAGCAAACATTTCTTGCTCGCAAAAGGAAACGGCGGAGTTCCTTTGCACTCTCACTCCGTACCAACATGCAATCATGCTCCATAGTGGCAATCATGTTTCCCTTGGCCCCTTGGGCATCTTTAAAGTGTACCCTTTAAAGATGCCCAAACCTTAGTACGTGGAAGTTCCTTAACACGTAGGGCATTGGTAGACAACAACGGACCGAGTTTCATTGGTTTGAATGATGTCAATCTTCATTTCTCTTCTACTACTGAACCGGATCATTTAACATAAAGTCGGACCCTGAAATTATATCGTTAGTCTGCCCAATATTTTCGACTTTAAATTTTCTCCTGGATTGAGCCCTCGAAGTTATAGCCGACATTATTGACTTCTTTATCATCTCTGAAACCTTTTCCTCTCTCTTTGGCACAAAACTTACATCATCGCATTGCCTAAAATTAATAATCCTTCTCTTAATAAACATTTCTATCCAATCCCTATCCTTCCTTTCCTATCAAACGTTTTTGAGGTATTCTAGGAACTGTTTGTATCTGTCTCACAATTTATCTTTCAACAGAATATCCTAAGTCCTCTGCAATCTGACTATTACTACTAAACCACTAAAAATATCCACTTTTGCGCACCAAAAACCGAAACCACTGAAAGGTCGAAACCACCAGTTTTAGTGGAAAATCCACTAGGTTGGCAACACTGGTATCTGTTTTGTTGTAATCTCGGAGGCAAAACTGATATTACATGGATTGCTATTTTATGATATGTGCCACTATCGGAAATTGAAGTTGATAAAATCAGTTTCGTCTTATAATCAAATTATTCAGAAAAATATGTACGTACTTATTTACAAAGTAATAATACAAAATTAATAAGGTATAAGTAGATATTCATATATAATATGAAATAAATACGTTCAGGTGCCTGGCGCCCTGGAAGAGTTCTTAACCTCTCTCGTTTTAGTTACACTACTTAATTTCCAACATTAACATTAGTACCTTCACATTTGAAAGCCTTTAGTAATCCAATCAAACATTTTTATTCAAAACGAAATTAATAACTTTGCTGTCCCAGCCGTTTGGGTGATATAACCTAAGCATTAACAATTTGACCCCATAATTAATAAAAATATGTTCTTATTGCTAGTAATATTAGTATTGGATTAATATATTAGTTCTCTAAAGTAATAGCCGCCTTTTTTATTGGTTACCAATGTTTAATATTTTCTTTCGTCTGTAGAAGTATAAAGCAGGTACCTATTAAGGAAGCTATCGGTTTCACGATCATTTATTATTGCTTGCTTTCTTTCTCTCCTCAATTTATAAAAAAAAATTAAGATGATGACCTTTAAACATTTGTTGAAACCAATCGTTCAATAATAATAAAAAGTTACAAATCAACATACCGGTATCGTAGGTACATCAGAGCGCAAAAGAACTTTCATCATTATTTCTAATTTGACATTTGCATGTGTCAATATTGTCTCTACTAGCAAGGTTATATGTTATTTGTTATGCTTATTTTTATGTCAACTCGTCGTGCGACGATAACAACGGTAAGCAATATAATAAAATAAAACTAATGTGTATAGTTTCACGTTAAAAGTGTCAATAATAAATTCGTACCATTAAAAAGTACCTATAGTAACAGTACAGCAGCCGTGTTATTTGTTACAAATTTTAAATTGGATTTTATTTTTTAAATCGTTTTTTTTTTAATTCAACTTTAACTGTAAAACTAATTGTTTATTCAGAGACGTACTTTGTCATAGTTTTGACTTTGACACCAGTCAGAGTGACAATAGCCTATATACTGAAGAGTGCTGCCAACAGATAAATCATAAAATCGTATTGCTTGGAAGGGCAACGTATTTTCAATATTTGTAGAATATTAATTCATGATATAACAAACTTAATAATAATAATAATATATCTCACACATCCCACACACGGCCGTCTGATCCCAAATTAGGCATAGCCTGTACTGTATTAGGTAAGCAGACTGCTGATAAACATACTTATATATTTTTAAATAGATACATATTATAGATAAATTACACCCAGACACAGAACAAATGACCGTGCTCATCACACAATAATTGTCCTGGATGGGAATCGAACCCACGACCTCCGGTTTAGCAGTCAGGGTCACTAACCACTAGTGATTTAAATCTTAATGTATATGCCACAAGCCTTTTGCCCAAACTAGGTTGGGGTCGGCTTTAAATCTACTACGATACGACTGAATTTTGACTTTCATCATCAGACCACAATAACCCCATTACTAGGCGATAAGAAGACTGTTGTTGGGCTTCTTAGGGCTCAACCTACCCGTAACGATTGCCACATTTGTTCGTATGGCAACTGAGACCTTCAGCTTAACGTCCTCTCCGGGGTACGGAGGGGTCTCAATGTGTTATGAATGTTCAACCATCCATAGACTGACCTGGATACGATCGCTTAACTCTGCAATGTGTTAACTTACTCGGTGACTGCTTAGCCATGAACCACTGTTTTATGTATAATGTACATAAATATTATTGGAAATAAAAGGAAATAATTTAATTAAGGATATCAAATACGGACCGTATTGAATGCTTACTTTTTTTTTTGTTATGTCAGAGGGGGCAGACGAGCAGACGGGTTACCTAATCGAAAGTGACCATCGCTGCCCATGAACGTCTGCAAGTCAGGAACCACAAACGCGTTGCCGGTCTTTTAGGAAGGAGTACGCTCTGTTCTTGAAAGTTTGGAGGTCGAATCGGTCCGGAAATACCGCAGACCGATAACCCGTTCCGCAGATTGGTTGTGAGGGTCAAAAAGTGCCTCGATAAGCGGACAGTAGTGGAGCGCCAGCTACCCAGGTAATGAGGATGAAAATTTTGCCGTGTGAAACGATGGCGAAAAGTTGCAGCTGGTACTCGGAGCACTCGCCATGATATATGCGATAGAGAATGCAGAGTGAAGCCACATATCTACGTAACGCCAAGGGATCGAGCCGATCGGAAATGTTTGGGCTATCGACGATTCTAGTCGCTCTTCGTTGGATGCCGTGTAGAGGGAGAAGCTGGTACTCTAAGTGACCCCGAAACTAGACTTCGCTCGATATGTCGATGCCTTGGATACCGATGCTGGCTGAGGCAGTTAGAGGTGTACTTAGAAAGAGAACTTTTCAAGAATTCGTATATAAGAGTCGTGTAGCTCGTAAGTTAGAAATCTAAAAGATAAAAATGACTTACAGCAATAAAATGTATTATCTAATCACAAATGGACAATAAAGAACAAATTGTGATACAGATAGGTAAAATTCGTGATAACATTTCTTTGAGTGCTATTGCCACACACTTTTTACCATTTTATTTAAGTTTTAGAATCTCATTATATCGGGTATTTTATATTTTATAGTGCAACTGCTGAGACATTTTTTTTTTTTTTTTTTTTTTTTAAAAGACAACTCCCGCATTAGGAATAAATCCTGTGTCGCGGGGGACTTTACAAACATACATGAAACGGACACAAAGAACACCCAGACTCAGAACAACAATTTGTGGATCACACAAAGTGTCGTCCCATGTGGCGTTTGAACCCACAACACTCGGCGTAGTAGGAAGCGGCGTGGCGACCGCTTAAACCACTACGCCATCCGTGCAGTCAGTGCAGTCATTTCGAAAATGTATCCGATAAAAATAGGTAAACGAAAAAGCGGTAAAAAATAGAACAGTTGTCGTTGTTGTTTAACCGATACGGATTTCAATTTCGAACCAAAAAGTGATGAAACAGTACATTTTATTTAACAACTTTAATTCTCTTTTAGTGGCCGGGTTGCAGCATGTTCGTCCTAGCACGGCCTGCCTAATGCCCACAACTTTAAAGGATAATTCGTGTCTGTCATTAATGTACTTGTTATTTTCTATAAAACGGGCTTATCCCCTTTAAAAAATATCTTCGCTAAAGACTACAATAATAATCAAATCAAATTTGTTATCGAACGCCTGTCAATAATGTAATAGCATCATCGTACCATGACAACAACTTATTACTTTAACATAGGCGTTTAATAAGCAATATAAAGATTTGTCTTAAATATACAATTCTTGTGTCACAATGTTAGTTACCATACTGCTCCGAAACGGCTGGCCTGTTTTTTATGAAATTTTGTGTGCACATCGGGTAGGTCTGACACTCGGCCAACATCTATTTTTCATACCCCTAAAAGACAAGGGTGACCCACCCCTAAATTTTCTTTTCAATATTTCCTAGACATAATGTAGGTATATGGAAAAACAACGCTTGCCGGGTGAGCTAGTATATATATATATTATAAACATTTTCATAAGTTACTATGAGATTTATAAAATTTCCAAAAAATTATGTGTAACAATTTCCTTTACACCTATTTGTTTGTAAAGGGCACATAGTTATAATAACCTATACATTGTGCAAATTGCTGTTTTTAGAACACCAAATTCAATCCTCCAATATTTTTTATATAAAG